TCTGTGGTCAGTCCTTTCCTCTCCTTTCTCTCCCACCAGCACCACCACCCCTGACTCTTTGATCTCTTTCACTCTCCACCTTTCTGTCGTCACCTATGTTCATCATATCCTTCTTCATTCGCCTCAGGTTCACCCCCTCTCCTACTCCCAGGCCCTTCTGGGTCTTGCCCTGGCCTCCTTCCCCCCTTTTCATGTACCTCTGAGCATCCTCGGTTGTGCCACGTGCAGGATCTCGAGCGCCGCCGGTAGTAATTCTCTCATATACCTTGCTCTGGCCTCTACTAGTCCCACCCACTTGTCCTCGCTCCCTGCTGTCACCGTGTCAGTCAGTATCTTCGGTGCATCAATAGGTAGTATCGGCTCTCTCCCCAACAGCAGGTAGTAAGGAGATATTTCTCTCAAGGCGGCCTGTTTGCTGAATCTGTATCCCGCCGCTACCCATTGCAATATGATATCCCAGTCTCTCTTATATTTCTCCCCGTATGCTCTCAGGCCGTTCTTCACTGCCCGTACGAACCTCTCTGTGAGACCGTCACTCTGTGGGTGATACCTGGATGTTCTCCTGTGCGTGATGCTTGTATCTTGTAGCAGCTTCTCGAATTCTCCTAGGAACTCAGTTCCTTGGTGAGTAAGCACTTCACCGCACGCCCCAAATCTGGTTACCACCTGTTCCTCAGACGCTTCTGCGATTCTTGCCAAGTTCTTGCTGGGAAGCACTTGGACCTCCACCCGTTTGCTCCCATGCTCTATCATTATGAGTATGTATCTCTTTCCCTTGAGGCTTAGGGGCATTTCTTCTGCCAAATCTAATGACCATCTGAATCCCAATACTCGAATGGACAGCGACTGCAGCTCCTCCCTTCCTCGCTCTAGCTCAGCTTTGTTCCGGCTGCAGTGCTCGCATGTTTTTACCCACTCCTTGATCTGCTTTCTCATGCCATTCCACCACCACCCTGTCTCCATTAGCTGAATGGTCCTCAGGCTGCCATAGTGCCCTAGCTGCCTGTGTACCCTGGCTATTCCTCTCTCTTCTTTCCTCTGCACCAACTTCCATCCACTCTTCTTTTCTCGCTGCAGCTTCTCCCTGTACCATCGATAATGAGCCCCTCTTGCTCTTGCTCTCTCTCCTGCTGGTGCTGCTTCTGTCGTCTTGCCTTGCATCTGTAGCGGCACTTCCTCGTCTTCCTAGATGTCCTCTGGTCCCTTCTTCTCTCCCCTCTTTGCACCTTCTCCAAATATCTCTATGGCCAGAAACACTAGGCATGCTGTTGGCGTCTTTGGCGGTGGGTTTCTCGATAGACCATCCACGTGTTGCATGGCTTTCCCTGGCTTGTACTTGATGATGAACTCGTATTCTTGTAGCCTCATAGCCCATCTAGCATTCCGCCCCGTGAGTGCCTGGTTGGTCATCAGCCAGGTCAGCGGTTGATGGTCAGTTACTAGCATGAAGGGCCGTCCCTGCAGGTACACCCTGAAGTGGGTTAAGCTGCAGTTGGCCTCTGCTGGGTTGCAGCTGCGACTGGCAAACGCCACCATCGTTTCTTCTCCTCCCCTGTCCTGGCATAGGATCGCACCCATGCCCACGCTGCTCCTGTCCGTGTACCAGACGAAGGGCTCTTCCTTGCTCGGCAAGGTTAGTACTGTCGCAGTCTTGACTGCTCTCAACAGTGTATCCAGTGCCCCCTGCTCATCTTCCCTTCATTTCCAAGGATTCTCTTCCCTGAGCAGGCGGTTCAGCGTGGCCGCTGTCTTGATGAAGTTGGGTATGAACTGCGGAGATAACTCATACAACGGGAGCTAGGCTACGGGCTAGGCACGGGGCAAGAGTGATCTCTGCGTTCCTTAGTCGTTTCCTTGTGTTCTTACTGCTTGCTAGTTCACGGGGAGATTTGGCAACAGTTTCACTAGGGAAAGTTGACAACAATGGTTGATACAACATTGGCAACACAGACTACATCAGAGCTAGCTAGGCTGCTTGTCAACCTCCGGCGCAGCATTGTCGACCGCGATCCAGCGCAGCAGAGCTCGCACCGCTCCAGCGTTGCAGAGTAGCGGTTTGCCAACGTTGCAGAGTAGCGGTTTGCCAACGTTGCAAGTCCACGGTGTGCCAACGATGCAGTAAGTCGGCTGCACAGCGTTGCACCCGCAGGACAACGGTGCACCTGCTTCGCAGGTGCGTGCAACTGGTTGGTGCACCACTCCTTGTCACATGCACAGCGCAGACGTCCAGGTCGAGTCCACGCCAGCGACTGCGCATACCAGCCACGTCGACCTCGGGATACCACTTCCAAGGTCGGCCTCGCAGCAACCACCTCGGCGACCATCACACACGTCGCCCTGATAACTCGATCGACTGGGCAACCACGCCTGGTCGTCCAGCCCAGTCCGTCGCCGGCGACACCAGACCGGCGTCCCCAGAAAAGGTGTCCCACCACCCAGGTCGACGTTGGGACGCCTAGGTCGGCGTCCAGGTGCTCAGGACGCCGTCCAGACGCCCAGGTCGTCGTCCAGGCGCCCATGTCGTCGTCCAGGCGCCCAGGACGCCGTCCAGACGCCCAGGTCGGCGTCCAGGCGCCCAGGACGCCGTCCAGACGCCCAAGTCGGCGTCCAGGCACCCAGGACGCCGTCCAGACGCCCTGGTCGGCGTCCAGGCGTCCAGCCTCCCAGGACGCCGTCCAGGCGCCTAGGTCGGCGTCCAGCCTCACAGGACGCCATCCAGGCGCCCAGGTCGGCGTCCACCCTCACAGGACGCCGTCCAGACGCCCATGACGGCGTCCTCCTGCTCGGCGCCCTCCAGCTAGGCGCCCTCCAGCTCGGCGCCCTCACTGCAACTGATCGGCTGCGCTCCCCACACACCCGACTACGAAGTCGGCTCTGCCCAAGCGAGGACGGGGCCAACCACAACTCCCGTTGACATGAACTTGCGGTAGTAGTTCAAGAAGCCCAAGATTGCCCTCAGCGTACTCCTATCCTTGGGTGCTGGAACCCTATCTAGCACCTCCACTTTTGCTTGTTGAATTCCTAGCTTGCCTCCATGCATCTTGAATCCCAGGTAATTCACCGACTTGTCCCCGAATCGGCACTTTTTGGGGTGGCAAGTCAGCCCGGCCTTCCTTGTGGCGTCTAGCGTGGCCGCTACATCCTTCACGTGCTACTCGTCGTTGGGGCTGAAGACGATGACATCATCGATATTGCAGGCTGCTGGCGGCACGTCCCTGAGCACCGCATTCATGGTCCGCTGAAATAATGCCAGTGCATTCTTCATCCCAAACGGCATGCCAGTTCATTCATACTGCCCATCTGGTCCGTGAAAGGCTGTTTTTCGGCGGTCTTCGACCTTGATGGGTATGTGGTTGAACCCTTGTCTGAGATCGAGAGTAGAGAACATCGCTGCTCCCAGCAGCTTGTCAAATATTTCCTCTGCAGACTGCATTGGGTACCGATCTGCTACTGTAACATTGTTTAAGCCTTGATAATCCCCGCACATCCTCCTAGCCGACACTTCCCCCGCCAGACCCTTTCTTGTTGCTACTGCCGTGGCTGCCGCGCATCCACTTTCTGATCTTTGTATGAGCCCCGCCTCCATCAGTTACATGCATTTTTCCGTGCAAATGTCAGTGTCTCCTGGGCTCATGCGTTGCTTCCGCTAGTACACTGTCACCTCGCTGGTCAGCTTGATATGCATTTCCTATGTGATGCACCGCCCAAACTCTTTTAACATGTAGGCAAACATGCTCATGTGTCCCCTCTGGACCTCTTGCATTATGATGGATGCTTCTGCCCCCATTCCTTCGCCCACTGGCCAATCTTCTTCTAGGCCTCGCTCTCTCCTCTTGATGTCGCTCACTGAGCTCTATTCCCATGTCTATGTCCTTGACCTTGACCTTGAGGTGCATGTGGATCGTCTCTAAGATCCAGATAATCACATTTAGATCCATCGCCCTTCCTAGTGCCGCCCTTCTTTGCCTTTCAGTCACTTGCGGGTGCACCGTGGCATCCCATCTATGGCCCATTGCAGCCTCTCTCTCCCTGGCTGTCGGCTCCTCCCATCTCTTGCTTCTTCATAGATAATGCCAGGGCCCGGCTGGTCTCCTTCCATCACGAATCCTCTTGCTCCTTCATACGACACTAGGGTCGGCAGGGCTTGCCTTGGCTTCCCTGGCTCGTTGCATTGATACTGGCTGGGGTGGTCCTTGCATGTCACTTGCGCAGGCGGGCGGTTCGGTCCCAGTATGTCGCTCACTAGTTTCCATTCTAGTCGTTGCATCTGCGTCAGGGAGTGCTTGATGCATGTTGGCGATATGCCATTCTGCCAGTACCTCCTCACTAAGTGTGTCCGTGATCCCAGCTGTGCCCCGTCTGCAGCCTGTCCTTTGCCCAGCGTCCTTGTTATCTCTGCATACGTCTCCTTCACCGGCTGTCTCCTTTCATCCGCCATATCGACATTCTCTAGAATGTATGGCAGCTCTCCTAGCTTCCACTGAATCATTTCCAGTATCCTCGTCGAGTCCCTGAAGGATGCTCTTCTTGGATCCGCCATTCCTCCTCCTTCTCCCGCTCTGGAGTAGCCTTCGCACTGCGAAGATAACTAGTACAACGGGAGCTAGGCTATGGGCTAGGCACGGGGCAAGGGTGATCTCTGCGTTCGTTCACTTAGTCGTTTGCTTGTGCTTGCACTACTTGCTGGTTCACGGGGGAATTTGGCAAGAGTACCACTAGCAAAAGTTCACAAGAATGATCCAATCAAGTTGGCAAGACAAGACTACATCAGAGCTAGCATGCAAGCTGGTCGACTGCCAGCGCAGCACGGTCGACCGCTCTCCAGCACGACTTGGTCGACCGCGCTCCAGCAGTGCAAAGTCGACGGCGTGCCAACGTTGCAGGTCGACGGCGTGCCAGTGTTGCTCCTGCAGAACAGCAACGCACCTACTTCGCAGGTGCTCGCATATGACTGGCGTGCAGTGCCTCGTCACCTGCACAACGCACACACCAAGTCGTCCTCAGCAACACACGTAGGTGAGGGCAGTGAGCTTGGAGATGTCGGAATGGAGAGACCCCGTGAGCCCCAGATTCGACATATCGCTGACAATCACACAACACGGGTGGGGAAGAGAGGGAGTAGGAAGGGGTAGGTAGGCATGACGGAGCAGATGGGCAAGTAGAGTATGGGAACCATGCAGACACATGCCGCACACCCACATGGCCCACACCCACATGCCCCACACTCACACGCCCCACACTCACATGCCTCACCCACACCCACATGCCCCACACCCACATGCCCCACACCCACATGCCCCACACCCACATGCCCCGCACTCACATGTCCCACACTCACATCTTGCACTCACACACCCCACACTCACACACCGCCCATTCACACGCCCTGCACTCACATGCTCACGACGTTGCCGGTGGTGTCGCGGAGCACCTTGGACCACGTGGGCACGGACGGCGTCATGCCCTTGAGAGCGCACGGCACAGTGGCCGCCCAGTTGTTGAACGTCACACCCAGCGACGACTTGAGCGCCAGCATAGCTGGTGGATTGAGACGGGTGGGTAGACAGGGGGTAGTTGGTTGGCCGAGTAGGCGCCGATAAGGTGGGCTCGCATGATGCGAGAGTTGGTGCAGAGAATTTGCAGAGCTCGTTGCAATCCCATGTCAGTCACCGACGCAATCCCAGGGGACAACTACAGTGTGAGGCACTGACGCACCAGGAGGGCCAGGATCGTGCACTGCCCCCTGCCCACTGCTGCCCCCTGCCCACTGCTGCCCCCTGCCCACTGCTGCCCACATTAGCATGACCAAGAGGTGAGTCAACTCCAGCTCGTTTCAAGATGAGTCAACCTCCAGTCGTGTGGAGTGAAATCTCGACTCATTGCAATTAAAGCACCAGCACGAATGGGTCAGCAAGCCCTTGGCTGTACACTACCTGCTGCCCACTGCCGACTGCCAAATGCCCACCTGTGGTTTCTTTCATGCCCACTGCCGTGCTGCCCACACAAGTCAAGGGCAGCAGGGACACTGCCAGCGCGTTGACAGTGCCGGCAGCCACGGCAGCAGACACGTTCGCCGTGCACACTCCTCCCGCCCCCTAGCACAAGGGCCCGACGCTGTTGGTGGTGCCGCAGAAGGTACAGCTCGCCGCGGTCTTCTGAGTGGTTCCGGCGCCGGAGTTGGGGCACTTGGAGGGCGTGAGCAGGCAGTTGTTGACGCCGCCACAGAAGGTGTAGGTGACTTCTGGGACGTCCGTGAGGAAGTTGTAACCCACGTCCAATGTGCGCAGCTGAATGGCCAGCGCCGGCACCGACCCCACCAGGTAGTTTCCCACCATGCCACTGGTGGGCCACGAGGGGGAGCAGGGCGGGCAGGGCATGGTCAATAGCGGTGTGGGCAGGAGATGGAAGCGGCATGCAAGTTGGAAAGCAAAACAGAGTAGAGAAGAGCACCACACGGAGCAGAGAAAAGTGTTAAAAATGCGTTGTCAACACATTTGTGTACTCTATTTTATATCGTGTAGGTTATTTGTAGGTTGGGTGTAGATTTGTTATCCCAACCTTATCTGGTTGGGATTCCCTAGCAGTCCAACAAATCGGCCAACTCATCATTGCAGATTTGCTTGGATTTCCATCCCATCCTTTCCCTGGCTTTGCTCAACCCAACCTTGCTTGTACTTAGGGCTTAGTGCCTTCTTTCTTAATCAATCAGTTCAAGCTCCAATTCTATCAAAGAGCACGTCCATCAGAGGACTTATAGCAGAGTGAGCTTTGGGAGGCCCACAAGGAAGGAGGGGACCTCCCCGTACAAGTAGTTGTAGTGCAGGCGGCTGTGATAGCAGCACAGGCGGCTGTGATAGCAGCACAGGCAGCAAGGGCAGCGATGAGATGGGAGCGAGAGGAGGCGGCATGTGGAAGGGGCAAGTATTGTGCAGGGATGACATTGAGGAGCTTGAGCAGGCACAACAGAGTGGGCGGTGGGAACATTGAGAGAGACACAGGCGTAGGAGCAACGCTGAGGTGACACCCGACAATACCACCATAATCTCATGCTCTCACGCTCACCTATACTCCTCCCTTGTCGGCAACCCACTCGCACTCACATGTCGGCCAGCAGTGGTAGGAAGCGAAGGTTAGTGGTGAAGGAATCGAGGCGGTAGTTGAGGAGATTGGCTTGCAAGTCGCTGGTAGGGGCGGGCAGAGGGTGAAGACGGTGGCCGTCATGTCATTGTGCTTGAGACTACACTGTACTACATGCATCATGGCTTCACTATTTAGTTTGTCAAAGTTACGGGACTCTACTGCATGCATGTGGACGACTAAGAGGCAAGGGTTCCTATAGGCAACTAGGAAGCATTGCGGATCATCACAGATGAAAACTGCCAACCAGGAAGGGCGCAACTCACAGGTAGGTAAGAGCCGTGAGAGTGGAGATGTCGGCATGGAGTGAGCCCTTGAGTTGTGCGTTCGGGAGAGATCTGATGCATCATGGGACAGCGTTTGTCGGGAAGCAGAACTTGGTGAGAAGATGTATGGCAGGGGGGGCATTGAAGTGGCAAAGCGGTCAAATGATGCATGCATTCGTTTTGCTTGCAGCAGCAGGATGATAACGAATCAAACCGGCCGGCACCTTGCCAGCATGCACTCACATGGTCGCCACCTTGCCAGTATCCGTGCAATAGACGCCCATCCACTCGCCCGGATAGGCCACCGAGTTGTTTGCTAAGCGGCACGGTGCTGCGGCGGTCCACGTGGTGTAGGTCGCACCCAACACGCTCTTGATGTTCAGCATTGCGGCAGCTGCATAAAGAGGGCACGGTTGCAAGCCAGAGTGGTGTGGCAGAAATTTACGTCACAATAGAGTAGTAATACAAAAAGGTACATGCGTGAGGAGAGAAAGCACCCACCGTCCGCTGCATTCATCGCAATGATACCCGGGATTGCAACACAATTAAACGCCACGTCATCGCCTGCGGAATGTTTGAGAGAGCTGGTGATCTTTGCATCTGTATCCGCCACGCACACGGCCGCCAGCCCACAGCCCGAGCCATCCGTGCTGGAGCAGATGCTGCTGCAGCTGGTGCTTCTTTGCGAGGGGCCGCCGCAGTTGCCTACGCTGGCAAAGCAGTTGGAGGAGGCGCCGCAGTTGGCCCAGGAGGTGCTGGAGGGCATGGTGCCCGTGAAGTAGTTGCGCCCCACTTCCAGCGACTTTATCCTGCTCACCGCGGCAGGCAGCGTGCCGTATAGACAGTTCTCGTACAGGTTCCTGTAGGGGGAGGCACCATACACGTTTGTGGCACAGAAAGGTGTCAGAAATGGCCGCCCCCAGCAAAGACAGAGGGGGGAGAGTGAGAGTGCGAGAGGGAGGAGAGAAAGATGGGAAGATTTTGAGGAGTGGGAGCGTGAAATCTGAACAAAGCAGAGGAAAGGGAAAACGAGAGAGCGAGTGTGAGAGGGAGGAAATGGGGCAGCGTATATCACCATGAACTGTATGCCTCTGGTACGTCCTGGCAACCAGTGGACCCAGCAGGGTACGGTAATATAGGAGAGGGGAAGGTAGCCAAGTGAGAGTAAGGGAGGTGGGAGGGGATGTGAGAGAGACATGTGACATCGACGCTAGTGGTTCGTCAGCTGCTGCACTCACAGCTCTGTCACACTGAGCGCACTCACGAGCACGCTTGGGAATGTCCCGGTGAACCAGTTGTACTGCAGGGAGCTGCCACACGTGCACGGGACAACAAGGAGAAAGGAAAGTGCATTTGGGTGCATCAGCATAAGCTATTTGAATTGAGCAAGAGGGTTGACAGCGAGAGGATGTAAGTCAGCGTGCTGGCACCACCAACAACGACATGCATGTGAGCAGCAGAAGCTCTTTAATTTGAGCCGGAGGGTTGACAGTGAGAGAAGCGGAAGTTTTTTCTCGCATGGCACTCCGGACTCCAGTTAGGCCATGCTGCAAGCTGCAGGTGAGACTCATAGGGAATTCAAGGTGGTGAGACTCACAGGGACTTCAAGGTGGTTAGCGAGCTGAAGACGCTGAGGTACGTGCCAAGGTCGCCATCCAGAATCTGGTTCATCAGCACTCTGCACACACGTGGAACCAACACATGATATTGATGCGGCTCAGATTGGGCCTCCACACAAGTGGTGGGCAGCAGAGACACATATTTAATTCGGATGCTGAGGGCCACGTTGTGTGCCTACCCACATCCCCGTTAAAGTTGTGAGCTTGCTGATGTCGGCGGGGAAGCTCTTACGAGTGATGCCGTTGTCCTTGAGGTATCTGCCACATGGGACGAGCAGGTCGGTGCGAATGAGCTCATGGCAGGATGCTCGTGCTGGAGAAACCGCCTGGAAAGTCGCACTGCGGCACATGAAAATAAAGGACTTGGTGTGTTGAATTGGTGCTTATATCTGAATGAAATTGCCGTTGCTGTTGCAGGACAGCGTGTCCCACACGCTAGGAGCGGTGGCTAAGCCAGCGAGCTGGCAGGCGTTAGTGGTGGCCCAGGTGGTGAAGGTGAGCGCCAGGGCTAACTTGACACTCAGCATGGCCGCCGCTGATGGGCGCACAGCAGGCATGGCGGGATGGGGGCAGGGGAAGAAGGAAAGGAGAGTGTGAAACAGACCCCGCCTTGCTTGGAAAGCAGAGGAAGGTGAGAGATTACGGTGGAGTAGCATGTGGCGGTGCTGGTAATCCAAGGCACATGTAACACAGGAAAAGGGTTGGAGAGTATGAAACAGCCCATCTTTCCTGCCGAGCAGAGCAGAGCAAGGAGCAGAGCAAGGCTGCCACTGGTTAGCCGCCACGCGGGACACATAGTGACTGACAGTGAACCCAGCCTCGAGGCTGGAAGGAAGCACTCACCTTCCGCTGCTTTCATGGCCACTGTCGTGCCGCCCACGCAAGTCAAGGGCAGCAGGGGATGCGCCAGCGCGTTGACAGTGCCGGCAGCCACGGCAGCGGATGCATTCGCCGTGCACACTCCCCCCCCCCCGTCAAAGGGCACAAGGGCCAGACGCCGTTGGTGGTGCCGCAGATGGCACAGTCCGCCGCGGGCCTCTGAGTGGTTCCGGCGCCGGAGTTGGGGCACTTGGAGGGCGTGAGCATGCAGTTGCTGACGCCGCCACAGAAGGTGTAGGTGACTGCTGGGACGTCCGTGAGGAAGTTGTAACCCACGTCCAATGTGCGCAGCTGAGTGGCCAGCGCCGGCACCGACCCCACCAGGTAGTTGACCACCATGCCACTGGTGGGCCATGGGGGGGAGCAGGGCGGGAGGGGCACGGTCAGCAGCAGCACACAGCGTGGGCACTAAGCTACCGTTGACACGTATCCATCGTTTTGGGTGCTAGCGTCTAAGCGTTGGATGCTAATTTCCAGAACCAGGAAATGCTGGTTAGATGCTTTGTCGCACAGGCAAAAACGAAGGGCAGGGGAAACTCCTGAGGGAAGGGGGGTGCGGGCAAAGGGGGGCATTAAACACAAAGAATCCAAAATGTCAACATAGAAGCAATCATAAGATTACGTAATCCAAACACTCTCCGATCCAATGTACTCGTACTCAACCTCCAACACAGCATCCTCTGCCTCCTCTCCCTCCTCTTCCTCCTCTTCCTCCTCTTCCTCCTCTTCCTCCTCTTCCTCCTCTTCCTCCTCTTCTTCTTCTTCCTCCTCTTCCTCCTCTTCCTCCTCTTCCTACTCTTCCTCCTCTTCCTCCTCTTCCTCCTCTTCCTCCTCTTCCTCCTCTTCCTCCTCTTCCTCCTCTTCCTTCTCTTCCTCCTCTTCCTCCTCTTCCTACTCCCACCCTTGTACCCCTTCGAGGCTGGGGGTTCAGGGATGTTCCCACGAACCCCATCTCCGCCCCCTAGCCCCTGCATACTGGCCCAGTACTGGGTGCCTAGAGTAGGGTTGTTAGGTGCTCCACTGTTCGAGAAGATCTAGAAAAGAAAACGGGCACCTTCCGGGCTGACCCAAAAGTTACCTTTCCAGCGTCCAGCATCTAGAAAATAAAAAAGGCACTTTCCGGGCTGACGCAGCCTCTAGTGTCATGTCAAGCGTGCACACACTCCCATCAAGACGCTTGAAGCTAGGCCACTACAGCCTCAACAGGCGTATAAGGCCGGATGGAGAGTGAGGAAGGAGAAGGCGGAAGCATATAAGGTAGAAGGAGCACAGAGTAGAGCAACACATGTAGCGTTATAGAAAGCCTTCCCAGATGACTTACAGCAGAGTGAGCTGTGGGAGGCCCACAAGGAAGGAGGGGACCTCCCCGTAGAAGTAGTTGTAGTGCAGGCGGCTGTGACAGCAGCACAGGCAACGAGGGCAGCGATGAGATGAGTGCATGACGTGGTGGCATGTGCAAGGGGCAAGGACGTGCAGACATGACCTTTGAGGCGCCCCCGCAAATATAGAAGCTTGAGCGGGCTTGAATAGAGACGGCTGCCGGAAGATGGGGAGTGGAAGAAAAGCTACAGGACGCCACGACCACGGTGTCACGCTCACCCCTTGCCCCTCTTGCACTCACATGTCGGCCAGCAGTGGCAGGGCTCGCATGTTGGTGAAGAAGGAGTCAAGGCGGTAGTTGAAGAGATTGTTGGGCAGGTTGCTGGTAGGGGCGGGCAGAGGGTGAAACAGTCGGTTTTCAGGTCATTGTGCGTGAACCTCAACCACATGCATCATGGCCTCACTGGGTAAGCAGAAGCCCATGGGCAAGCAGAAGCATTTGGGTTGGGATCATAAAGCAAATGAAACGGCCAAGGAGACGCAACTCACAGGAAGGTAAGAGCCGTGAGAGTGGAGATGTCAGCATGGAATGAGCCCTTGAGCTGTGTGCCAGGGAAGGACCTGATGCGTTTGTGGAAGAGTGTTTTGGAGAACACACGCAACGCCGGGCGGGCAGACGAATTGGTCGGAAGATGTATGACAGGTCGAACATTGAAGAGGTAGAGGTGAAAGAGGATGCATGTGTGCTGCTTGAAGCGGGATGATGCTAACGAAACACGCTGACCGACACCTTGCTTGCAAGCATGCACTCACATGGCCAAAACTTTCCTGGCAGCCGTGCAGAAGACGCCCGTCCACTCGCCCGCAAAGGCCACGGTCGAGTTTTCCAGGCGGCACGGTGATGTGGTGCTCCACGTGGTGTAGGTCGTACCCAGCACGCCCTTGATGTTCAGCATTGCAGCAGCTGCATGGGGTGGGGTGGCGAACGGGAGTGCACGCGGGTGTGGGGTGGCAGACAACCGGAACAAGGTAGAGCAATGAAAGGCAGCTACTAAAGAGCCAACGTTAAGGAGGGGCACGAGGATACAAAGCACTCACCATCCGCACTGTTAATAGTCACCAATGCCGGCCCGCCCACGCAGGTCAAGGGCAGCAGGGGCAGTGCCAGGGCATTGACAGTGCCGGCTGCAACGGCAGCAGCTGCGTTCGCCGTGCACACTCCACCCGCCCCCCAACAGAAGGGGCTGATGCCGTTGCTGGTGCCGCAGAAGGCACAGCTCGCCGCGGGCTTCTGACTGGTTCCGGCGCCAGAGTTGGGGCACTTGGAGGGCGTGAGCAGGCAGTTGCTGACGCCGCCACAGAAGGTGTAGGTGACTGCTGGGACGTCCGTGAGGAAGTTGTAACCCACGTCCAATGTGCGCAGCTGAGTGGCCAGCGCCGGCACCGACCCCACCAGGTAGTTGACCACCATGCCACAGGTGGTCCACGGGGGGGAGTAGGGCGGGCGGGGCATGGTCAATAGTGGCGTGTGTTGGAAATAGGCTGCACTTTGTTAGCCTTATTTATGGTTTACAACTTATTAGTAGGTCCAGTTTGGTTGGGTTGGGTGTAGACTTTTAATCCCCAACCTATCCAACCCTATCCAAAACCTATCCATCCAAAATCTCCTTGATAGATCCTCCTTGACAGTGTGGGCAGGAGATGGAAGCGGCATACAAGGTGGAAAGCGGCGCGCACGGTCATTAGAGGCAGAGCAGGGTGGGCACGGTCATTAGCACGGCATGGGCAGATCAGATGGAAGTGCGAGAAAGGAGGATGCGGGGGCATGGAAGATGAAAGCAGCACAAAGAGTTATAGAAGGCCTTCCCAGAGGACTTGCAGCAGAGCGAGCTTTGGGCGGCCCACAAGGAAGGAGGGGACCTCCCCATAGAATTAGTTGTAGTGCAGGCGGCTGTGATAGCAGCACAGGCAACGAGGGCAACGATGAGATGAGTGCATGATGTGGTGGCATGTGCAAGGGCAAGATGTGCAGACATGACCTTTGAGGCGCCCCCGCAAATAGAGAAGATCGCGAGTGAAGAGAGAGGGAGATCGCGAGTGGGAGCAAAGCTACAGGACGCCACGACCATGGTGTCACGCTCACCCCTTGCCCCTCTTGCACTCACATGTCGGCCAGCAGTGGCAGGGCTCGCATGTTGGTGAAGAAGGAGTCAAGGCGGTAGTTGAAGAGATTGTTTGGCAGGTTGCTGGTCCGACTACCTCCGTGCCTCCCGTCCTGTCGCCTCCCGTCCTGTCGTCTCCCGTGTTTTGTCCGCGTTGGTCACTCACCCGACTGCACCTCTGTCGTCTGTCTCAGCACTTGTTACCACTGTCTCTGGCTTTGCCTCTTCCCACCGCCTTGACTACGCCGCTCACTTGGTGAGTGGCCCTGCACGTTCTCCGTCCTCTGGGGGTGCTCCTGTCTTTCCCCTGGAGGTCCTAGAGGACAGGCAGTTCGAGCTTGGTTTCCTTGCGGCCGCTGTTCCTCATCTCTGCGCCATGCTGCTTGCCCCTGAGGGGGATCCAGACGCCCTTGACATCCCGATCCCTCGCACTCACGCCGAGGCGGTCTCGGGACCCTGGGCTTCGTACTGGATAGCAGCTGAGGAGGCAGAGATGGCATCTTATAGGTCCACAGGCACTTACGTCGACGCAGTCCCACCACCTGGGACGAATGTCATCAGTGGCCGATGGCTCTACAAGGTGAAGCGGCCGCCTGGATCACCACCTGTGTTCAAGGCGCGCTATGTTGCGAGAGGCTTCAGTCAGCGAGAGGGGGTGGACTTCTTCCAGACCTTCGCTCCCACCCCGAAGATGAGTACTCTTCGGGTGTTGCTGCATATTGCAGCCCAGCGCGACTACGAGTTGCACTCCTTGGACTTTTCCACCGCGTTCCTTCAGGGGAGCCTGCACGAGCAGATCTGGCTGCGTCGCCCGCCTGGCTTCACTGGCTCTTTCCCACCTGGGACCCAGTGGCAGCTGCGTCGACCAGTCTACGGCCTGCGTCAGGCCTCACGTGAGTGGCACGACACACTTCGCTCGACCCTTGCAGCTCTTGACTTCTTTCCGTCGTCTGCTGACCCGTCACTGTTCGTTCGCCGTGGCTCGACCCCGTTCTTTGTCCTGGTCTACGTCGACGACCTAGTGTTCGCCACTCCCGACCGACGCGCGCTGGCCTCCGTGAAGGAGGAACTACAGAGGAGACACACTTGCACTGACCTTGGTGAGCTGCAGCACTACCTTGGCCTGCAGATCACCAGGGACAGGGCAGCTCGCACCATTACGCTGACTCAGTCGCATATGGTCGAGCAGATCCTCACGCGGTTTCGCTTCCCGTTCTCCAAGGTACAGCTCACCCCTCTTGGTGTGGATCATGGGCTCACGGCTCCACCTTCGGACGAGTCATTTGAGTCCAGTGGTCCATATCCTGAGCTGGTGGGTTGTCTCATGTACCTGATGACCTGTACTCGCCCAGACCTAGCTTACCCTCTTAGCGTCCTTGCGTGCTTTGTTGCGCCTGGGAGACACCGACCTTCCCACTGGTACGCTGCTAAGAGGGTGGCGAAGTATGTGGCGAGTACATCAGGCATGGGACTTGTCCTTGGAGGGAAGCAGCCAGTTACACTCACAGGTTACTCGGACTCGTCGTGGGCCGACGACGTGGAGACGCGTCGGTCTACACAAGGGTACTCCTTTAGCCTCGGGGCAGGTGTTGTTTCGTGGCGGTCGACTCGGGCGTCGTCCGTCGCCGGTTCCAGCTGTGAGGCAGAGGTGTACGCTGCGGCCATGGCCGCTCAGGAGCTTCGCTGGCTGTCTTTCCTTCTCACCGACCTTGGTGAGCGGCCTCGCTCTCCCCCAGTCTTGTTCGCCGACAACAGGTCTGCTGTCCTGTTGTGTGAGGAGCCCCGACTGGTTGGGAAGGCGAAGCACATCCAGCTTCGTTACTTCCTTCTGCGTGAGTTGCAGCAGCGTGGACAGGCACTCGTTCGACGTGTGGTCTCTGAGGCCAACACGGCAGATATCTTCACCAAGGCGTTGCCGCCTTGTGACCACCAGCGTTTCTGCACCCAGCTTGGCCTTGTGCCTACCCGTCCTCACTTGCTTGCTTAGAGATGCTTTGTCCTGCATGTCTTGTACTCTTGCATCTCTTTATATTTGCTATATACCTGCATGTGGACTGGCCTTGTGGCCCCTTGCTTGCTCTCGGAGTGTGTGGTGACTTTGAGCTCCACCCTGAGATTTGTCTTGTTCTTGTAGACTGGTCTTGTGACCGTTGCTTGCTCTTGTTGTTTCTACAGGACTTCCGTCACCTAGACTATGGGGGTGTGTCAACATATATTTCATATGTGTTGTTTAGGTTAGTCTAGGTGTTACATTTCTACTTACTTGCATGATTAGAGTTTGCTATATCTAGGGTTGTACTTCACATTTTCTATCAATTCATTCTTATCGTAACACCACCCACACATGCTGTTGCCCCCATTGCCCCACCCAACACACCCATGCGAGTGGCAGGCAGGCACGGAACGCAGCGATGCCAGCGTTGCCATTGTCGAGCACGTAGGGCGTGGTGAGCCAGCTCTCCGCGCGCTCCACCATGCCGCCCAGCTGCGGGCCGAAGGAGGGGTTGGTGCGCATGTCCTTGCAGGGCGTGGTGGCGAGCAGCGCGGTGTCACTGAACCAGTAGCGCATGGGCATGTACCACTCCGCTGGGGGGCGCGGGCGCTCCATGAAGTCCACCACTCCGCACCGCATCTGCCGCTCGTACTCCGCCCTGCAGCACCACACCGCACACAAGGGCGGCATGCAAGGGCGGCAATCAAGGGCGGCACACAAGACGGCACACAAGACAGCACACAAGACAGCACACAAGACAGCACATAAGGACAGCACACAAGGACAGCAGCACGTGCAGATGACATGGATGCTTGGCTTTGATAGGGTTCAAGCTCACACTGACCAGCAGAATGGGTTTAAGGTGTGCGTGTGTTGGGAGGAAAATGGGTGAATGTATGACGAGAGGGGGATACAGAGAGATGTGCGAATCTCAAAGAAGCGAGGCTGAAAAATGGAGGAGGGAGCAGGGTAGCACAAACCTGTCGGTGTGGTTGAGGAGGAGGAGGTAGATGACAGCATGCACCCATGGCCGCGCGGCGACAGTGGCGTGTGTGAACTGCACGTACCGCTGCTGGCTCATGCACTCCCCCACGCCCCGCGGGTTATCCCGCACTCCCCCTAACACTGTCACCAGCCCTGCCAGCGCCTGATGCGTGCACGCGGGAGAGATGGGTGAAGATGGGTGCGTAGGGTTGGGGGGAATAGGTGGGAGGAAAACTGTGGGGGAAGATAAGTGGGGAGGGGAGAAAATGACCTGGGGGTGATAATAGAAAGAAAAAAGGAGAGGGGGGAGGGGGAGGAGACGGGTGGGGGAGATAGGTGGGGGGAAGATGGGTGAAGGGAGACGGGTGGGGGAGATAGGTGGGGGGAAGATGGGTGAAGTGAGACGGGTGGGTTGGGGGTGATAGGTGGGGGGAAGAGGGTGAAGTGAGACGGGTGGGGAAGATAGGTGGGGGAAAGATGGGTGAAGGGAGATTGGTGGGGAAAGAGCTGAGGGGAGACGGGTGGGGGAGGAAAGTGAGGGGAAGACGGGCGTGGCGCTTCACTAGTGGCGGCACTACTGGCTCGCGCTTCCAGTGCCATCCGTGCATGAGGTGAGGGGTTGGTTGGAGCGTGCAGCGATGGGCAACATGGGTATATGTACGTTACGTGGTGCTGTGAATGCATGTGCAGTGAAGTGAATGCATCTCCTGCAAATGCATGTGGTACAGCTGTTGCTGCAGGCTGCAACTACTGACGACAAAATGATGCGTGCAATGCATGAAGCTATGCCCCACGAGTCATCCACGCACGTGCCACGTGTGACACACCATGGGCGTCATCCCGCTGCAAAATCACCCCTTTTCACGACTTCAAGCTCCTCGCACCGCCGCCCCACAAAGCACCCTAATTCTGGGAGCCCTTGCCGGTACATGCCAAGTAAAAACCCGTGGGCTGTGATATGTTGCTGCCGCGTGGTCGGCTGTTGTGCTGTCACACCGATTCACGGCATTTCTTCTACTAACCAGCAACTGCGTCCGCTCTACGTGCACGCTGTCGCCATCCGGAACGCGCAACCTGAATGCGAAATCTAATCCATACGGTTCTTATTAAAGCTACAGAACTCGTATCGCCTACAAGGAGATAATCGTTTTTGAACCATCTGCAGAACTCTGAGATGTGGAAATCTACAAATTCTGAGTATCGCGAAAATTATCCAGAGTTGACATCCCATATTTGGTAACTCTGGCGAGAGTATTCCATTCCGCGACCTACGTCAAGCTTTTTCGACGCCCCCCTGTTTCCCGGACCAATCCCTTCTCCTGCCCCAACCAACCTTCCTACCTTTGAAAGCTGTGGACCTCGGATTAACACGACAATTTTGATTCCTAACCTGCACGTTGTGGCGTCGCCTGACTCTCTGCTGATGATACTAGCGCACGTGTCGGCGCGTCTACCTCCATGTGTCGGCGCGTCTACCTGCACGTGTCGGCGCGTCTTACGTGTCGGCGCGTCTACCTGCACGTGTCGGCGCGTCTACCTGCACGTGTCGGCGCGTCTACCTGCACGTGTCGGCGCGTCTACCTGCTCGTGTCGGCGCGTGGTACCCGCGCGTGTCGGCGCGTCCACCTGCACGTGTCGGCGCGTCCACCTGCACGTGTCGGCGCGTCTACCTGCACGTGGTCGGCGGTGAGCATGAACTGCTGCTGCAGCGAGCGCGCGCGACCGGCGCACCAGGTGTCGAGCTCCGCCTTGCGATTGTCGTCGAAGCCCTTCTGCACCTCCACGCCACCAGCCCCGCCAGCACGCCCGCAAGCCCCATCCACACCGCCACCGCCGCTAACTCTCGAGAAACTCTCATTGTCGCACCCGGCAGCAGAGGCAGTATCTTAGGTTGGGGTTACTACTATTGCCTGCACCCCTACTACTACTACTAGCCACCGAAGACCACGGAGCCGTGCAATCGCTATCATTGATGGCTACCCGCGGCGAGTAAATGCGTGTTTTACATCTCGAAACGAAGCGCAATCTCAAACGACGTACTATGCAGTTGGAGCAGATTGAGGGTTTCATCATATCAGAGCCACTCTCAAGAAGGAAACATGCGTAGCCCATTGACAATTGCTGTCGTGGACGAATGCCACCCTGGACGGCCATAGGTCGCGTGAGGAAGGTAAAGGTAAAGGAGGGGGGAGAACCCCCTTTGGGTTACCCCCGGCCAGGGCTGTCGCTTGCAGGGCGTTTGCCCTGCTGGACCTTGAATTCCAGGGCTGGGTTGCCCTTAAAGCTGAAATTGATGGGTTGGAAATATTCTGGCCCTGATCCTTTACAGGGCTGATTTCGGGCTTAGGCCTGGTGTATAAAGGGTAGATTTTAGGCGAGCCTTGGAATAAAATCTTTGGAGCCCCCCATCCCCCCCCTTCCGCCCTCCCAACACTCCTCCACTCTCCTCTCCCCTTCGTTTCTAACCTGATTGCATCCAACCTGGCAAATTTCGAGTTGCGTGGTTGGGCCACAAATTCAACTCAACCTAGAACTTGTGCTTGAGCCAATCACAGCTCGCTCTCTGTGGAGTGGGTAGGTTAAGGTTGGGTAGAAAGGCACAAGAACTATCCTATGGAGTGGGTAGAAGTGCACAAGCTCATAAGTTCTGCAAAGGCTAGGAAGCCTGCAAAGCGTGCGTGACGCTAACTAATTCTCTTTATGTCGTCTTTGCTTGTTGCGGTTCATCTCAGACGTAGTTGTTAGCTTGGTAGTTGAAATGAGGCTCCAGAATTTTCCGCGCCAAACCTGATTCAAGGGAGGAATTTTTTCCAGCCCTGAAGCCTAAAGGGCCGAGATCCCCCCCAACTCTGCTAAATACAGGGTCATACATGCCGGGCCCCCTGATTTGTCCGGGGGGGCCAAAACGAAACGACAGGCCTGCCCCCGGCTGTCGATCGTAATCCGCCTACCCACTTGTTTACACGCCTCGCTGGGTATCGAGGTAAGGAATATCCACTCCCAGATGAGCAGTGCGAAAACCCCTTATGGGGGGCTGGCGGAACTCGCCGGCACTGGGGTTTGATCCCGCAACCTCATCCTTCGGAAGTCCCATTCTACTTGACTGGGCCACTTCAGGATAGGTCGCGTGAGGAAGGGTGTGCTGGTGTGATATCCAGTTCCCTGTCTAAGGGCGTATTCCTGGCTTCGGGTCATCCAGTCTTCGGGTCATCCCGAATTAAATTCTCGAACCACGGGTTTTCCGACTCGAGCTTCGGGTCTTCCGCCTCGGGAGTTTGCGAGCTTCAGCGAACATGGTAAACGAAATCTATTTTACCCCTGCAAAATTGTCGTGAGCCTGCAGTGCGACGATGCGACAAATTTCCATTGAACTGAACAGGCAGCAACAGGGCTCTCTTTTCGTTTTAGGGCACTCTTCCAAAAAAGGGTTCCCGCCGCCCGCCACCCGGCCAAGGCCGGGTGGCGTGCGGCAAAATCAGGGTAGTGGCAGGGTGTTTTCTGCCACACCTAATTTGTGGCAGGGTGATATTTCCGAGGACCCTGTTTTGCCACAAGTGTTGTGACTGGCACGGCACGCTCTACAGCTGTCTCTACGAGTCTCAGCACTTAGACATTTCTTGTTACAACACAGATGGAGTTCGCCAAACAGCCCAATAGGATCAGCACCGCTCTACAGATGTCTCTGCGAGCCTCAGTACTTAGATTGTTTTTCACAACACAGTTGGTGTTCGGCGGAATGGCCCAATAGGAACATGGGACATTCGTTTTTTTGGCTAAGGAAAACTATCAGTGGCTAAGTAAAAATCATAGAAACACGTACACAGAGTGGCCGGGTGCTTCGCTAAGGAACTTTTCACGTGCAGAGTTATAACTATGGCAAGCCTGCTTTAGCCGTCTAAAATAAAAAGGCACTCGGATTGTGGCCGGGTGACGTCCTTGGGGGACCCAGTCCTGGCAGGGTAGCGCCGAGAAACCACCCTGTTAGGCAGGACAAACAGGGTAAAACACCCTGCAAAGGAGAGCCCTGGGCAGCAATCAACCCATCGAAGGACAAGAGTGGGAATTCGGGCCAAACCGAAAAACCCGCGGAATCCCGCGGGTCAGTCAGAAAATCCATCCTGATCAGGCAAAAAAACCCGCGGAATCCCGCGAAGTCAATGTCGTATTCTTACGACCATATATATGTCAGCCGTCATAGTGGAAATTGAGGTACTTTTATCGAAATGCACTCGACGAGCGACGACCAATCGACGCGCAGATACGTGCGCTGTCGACAAAAATATGGTCGGGAAACGAACCAAACATCGTATAATTTTCTAAATCTCACCCACTTTGTCAATTTCATAACGTAGCATTCACTTTACATTGAAATTTTCTCGACGGAAAAGGGTATTTCACCTCCCTCTTTCCGTCGACGAGGCTTAACTTTCGACGGAGCTTCTATGTTTCCGTGGTTTTCCCGTCTTCGACGGAGCTGGAGTTGTCATTGAAAGGGTTCTCTCGTCCTCGACGAGACTTAAACATATTGCTACAAATTTTATCATCTTCGACGGAAAGTCGATTTTGTTCCTCGACAAGGGTGTTATGTTTCAACACGACCAGCATGACTTCATGATGCTGCTAAGAGTTCCGGTTCTCCGTGTTTGAACTCTGTCGAGAACAAAAACAAAAACCACCTATGTTTTAAGTGTTGTTAGGTTTTACGTCTGCTCGACAGGCCGGATTACATATTCGCGCACGATTTTCCACATGTTTTTTGAATAAGTACTGCAAAACTTCCAGTCGAGCAGATATTTCCCTGTCGAACGGGGAAACTCCATATGAAAATACCAATTTCTCTCGCGTAAAAGTTGTTGGGACCTAGAGGCTCTAAACACACCTTTAACTCACACTAGGTAGTCCCCACGGGGTCACCTCCAAGGGTCCTTGGGTGCCTGGCAAAACCAGCCCCTATCCAAGGGTCCGTGTTTGAAGAGGGAATTCCGTAAGTGCGAAAATTACCGTGCGTTCTACAGCGTTCCCAAACTCTGTTGCGCGGCGTTGACGACGAAATGGGCTCGTGTGCAGAAATAGCTCTTCACGTCAATACGATGATAGAGCACGTTAACTCGTCAGAGAAATTCAAAAATGACTTCCACTAGAAAGGTTGATTACATGCAAGCACAAGCAAGCATTTTATATTTCGTCTAACACACAAGCAAAGGAAAGCATAAAACAGTTGGAAGGCGAAGTCATTGATCTTGCCACGCTGTACTTGAAAACGGTTGCACAACTTCTTGGGTTGTTGCCTTTTTTATCCTCTTGTAACATGAGGCAATTCCTTGCTGACTCCTCCCATGAACATTTGTGGCTTCATGTGGTTCCCATGTGGCTTCCATAAGCCTCACACGAAGTTCATGCGAGTTTACAGCTGTAAAACGGATTTAACCGTTTGATCACGCGAGCAACCAAATTGCACCAGCGGCAAAATCATTCCGCAATGCGGCGTGACTTTCTCGAGAAATTTCGAGTTCGCCAAGTCAGAAAAGACGAGACTCGAGATTCAGTTTTTTCAACTGATATCTCGAGTCAATCCCGAGCACCCCTCGGGATCCTTCGGC